GTCTTGGCATGTATTTGACAAAAGAATAATCATGTATGTGAGAAACAAGGAGAAAGGTTAATGAAATAACATCTTCCAAACTCTAAAAATGACAAAGTCTGAGGGATAAAAACTTCCTTCGTCAACAGGTTATTCTTGGGGAAAGGTCAGGGATCGTGTTGCACTCTTTGTTACCACAAAAAAAGAGGAAGGAAGAGCTTCTTCTCAGCTTTTGTTAGGCACAGGTGGGCTAGAATTACAAAAGTGATAGGATTTATACAGCACTGTTTCTGCATTTTTTCTATAGGGTAGCGGAAGTGTTCAGTGAAATATCCAGCATGAATGTGATGATAGTTTGCCTCATCAGTAGAAAAGCACATCACTTCATTATGTGGGTTTTGGTGTGCTGAAGTTAATACTAGCTCCTATAGGTTCAGCAAATGATTTCCCACACAATGCAGTGTAACTTTAGAGGTGTGAGGGATTACAACACTGGGAGGTGATTTAGCTTGGTTTAGTGACTGGATAGACCAGCAAGTCTGGGAAATTTCTACCAATTTCGTTCTGCTACCATTTTGACCCTTGGCTGGTTGTAGAAATGGGACTGGAAATGGAGGACATTGACCTGGTGTCACAGACAGACGTCGCACACATTAGTTTACAGTGGCTGCACTGCAGCTGTGCTGCTCAGGGAAATGGAATTGGCAAAAGGAATCACCTCTGAGGTGACCACTGTCCATGAATACTGGACTTGTGGTATATAAATCAATTCAAACTATATTTTTAAGAATATATTAGTGTGTTCTGCATCAATTTGATAACTGGAATTTCTCATTCATGTATTCACAGCATATAGCCAGATTGCTTTGTCGACATTTCCTCTGTGATTGTAATGACTTCAGCTTAGTGATACAATGTTCGGTTTCTCTCATTTCACTGACTTAATAGAGCTTATAATATGCTGACCAAATTACAACAATGATTGTGTTAAGTAGCTGTTTATGGTAAATATCGTGTCACTTCCATGAGCATGTTCCAACATCGGCTAATCTGATTGGAACAGCCAGACCGGTCGTCATGTGTTCCAACAAGGTGTTGGGTTTCCCATAGTTCTAAGCTGTACAGTGACACGGGCCATTTGAAAGTGTGGCTAAAACTCTATGGAAGAAATGACTCGTTAAATTAACACCTAATACTCCAGTCATTAGCAAGCCGTTACCACCAGTGGAATGCCTTTGATGGTGCTGCTTTGTGTGAGCAGGTCCTGTTTAAGCTCCAGTTGGAAAAATCGGTCTGTTTGGATCTTGGAATATAATGCACTTACATAACCAAACTATAATTTAGAAAAACTGTGGTTTGATGGCTTTTCTGAGCCATAACACGCTGATGTGATATCCACAAACAGCCACTGCCATATGCTGAGATTGTGAATGACCGGTTACAACAGTATGAAAAGCCATATTCCTTAAGAACCGGGTCTTTGGGGTGTTTAGTAAGCTGAGGGGAATTGTCCATTGTGGGGTGATATTAGTAACCCTCTTAGGCAAAGCTAGTCTGTGGGCCGGCCCTGAGGGCTCATTTCAAGTGCTTAGCGCTCGTTTGGAGCTTTGTCACCCCTCACCCTGTTGCCAGCATGGCCCCAGCCCCTCTGGCTGTGGAGCGGAGCTGAAGCACAGACCTTTACCCCTGCCCGCCACCAGGGAGGGAACACTAACATCACAACTCTAACATACACTCGGTCGCACACACATACTCGCACTAACATTGTGGCACACATCCACCCCGCCCCCCCAACACCCTCCACCAATGCACCACAGCCAATGGTCTATTTTCCCGCCGTCCACTCCCATCCAACAATCCCCCCTCCTATTTTTTTTTCCTCTTTCTCCACCCTCATGAAGGTTGCCAGGCAGCAGAGAAAGACTTCACACACACATACACCCCACTATGCCTCTGAGGGTTTTCCGGATGTCCTTGTTTACATCATGGAGTGTGCAGGTCGTAGGGAAGCAGACTCAGAGCCTCCCTGGTTATGTCTGTCGAAGTCCTACACTGACCTCCATTCATTTGGTGTCAATGCAAATGTTCATGGCAGCCCTGCAGTTGGCTGCCATCACATCTTTGGGTGTTAATTTCAAAACGGGGTGAAAATGAACTAAAATATTTTTCTTGGTTTGTCTTCATCCAGCTAACTTGCATTGACAGTGATATGAGAGTAGTTTATTTGGAGTTGAATTGAATATGAAGTAAGTTTTCATGGCCCTGATAACCAATCATAGTTAACAAGTCTAATATAGACTGTCACTGATGTCCCTTATGGTTGCTGACTGTTACCAGGCTCCCTTTTCCCTCTGTGTCAAACCAATCGATTGGTTTTGTCTGCTCCTCCCTCCAACTTTGATGTTAGCATTGATTGTTCTCATCTGCCCCTGAACTCAAAGGTTAGAGGAGCTGAGCTGCACTTCTGGATTGCTTTGACCTTCGCTCTGCACATGCTCAGTGGGTTCACGGAGCTCAGAGCCAAACAGACACGGTGTAGCCAGGCCCGTGGGTGCGTGACAGCCAGACAACGGTGTGATGTCTTTTTTTTTTTACTCACCCACTGAGGGTGATGTATATGTGATTGATTTTTCTCCTACCCCTCTCTCTACCGTGTTTCCGCTGCAGTGCACTAAGCAGGACTGAGTCCAGGCTTGATCAATGCATTGTTTTTCTTTTTCAATCACACTCGAGTGAGCTGAAGACACGAAAGGTTACACAGGTGAGGTTTGGCAGGGGTGGAAGCTGGAGCTTCTGGAGGCCCCCTCAAGGCCAATATATGAGTTTGCATGGATGTTTGTGTGCATGTGAGAGAGGGAGGGAGTCGGATAAAGAGTTGCACAGAAAGAAGTCTAACTAATTTATCATGTGTGTTTCTACCAACTCAATCATTCCCCTTGTGGTGTCAGTAGAGTTAGCTTATGCTCATTATGTATCTCGTCTTCTCTCGCAGTGGGATTTTCCGTCCATGCCTCTATAAGTCCTTTGTAACCTTACCTTTACCATCTTACATTAAATTATAGGTTCTTTACAATGTCTCAGAGCTCACCTGCCCCAGATAATCTGCAGGGCTGCGTGAAGTGTACTCCTCTTGTTTCCTCCACTTGCTTGACAAACGGTCTTCTGACACACACACACAAAGACAGTGAGTTGAACAGAGAGGAGACCACTTGAGCAGGACGTACCTCTGACCTGTTTGTCGCAGTAGCAGGAGCACAAGCTTTATATCAGACATGAACATCAGTGATGTAAAAATTCTTGCAGTTCAGACTGAGGCCTTTCACTGCTCCTAAAAACAGTATTAAGCAAAGGGAGGAAGTAGTCTACCCTAGAGGGGTAAAGAGTGTTGCGTAGTCCTGAATTATCTCTTTGTAATTGCAATGTTAAACCCTGTACGTAAACACCTAGCCATTAAGTAAAAGATAAGTATCTATGGGAGTGGAAGGGCTCTCCTAAAGCTGCATGTCTGGAGGGGGCAAGGATGTGGTGGGCAGGGGAGGTTTAGAGGGCTGGGGTTGGGTGGGAGTGCAGGCTTTGACCAGTGGGTGTCAGATGTCATGGCAGATTCTTTCAGGGGCAAATTACAGGGTTTAACGTCTCTTGTGCCCTGGATGCCTGTATTCTGATTCAACTTCCTCGATAGACACTCGAGCAACATGCTACTCAACACCATTGTCAGGCGCACACTTGACTCTGGAGATACTTCACCTCCTCTCACGCTCTCAGCAAGACTCTTCAAGACTTTGTTCCTGGAGTGCCATTGGCGGCCTGTTTAGCTGCTTCTGGGGAGAGAGCAGAGCTGCACAGCCCCTCTTAAGCTTTATAGTAGTTAGCGTGTTGGTGTTAGGGGGCTTTACATGAGTGGCCCTCATTAACCTCTTTGCGTCTTTGTGCTTTGAGTTGGCACAGGGCTGCTCCATAGATAAGCTTTACAACGAAACAGCTAAAAGACTTGATTCTAATGACTCTGGTATTAGCTGAACATAATCACCTGTGCTACAAACACAGTGAACCAACACAAGGGCAAACACGTCTAAATTTTGCATACGCAACACACACTTTTGCCCTTCTCACACTGGACAAAAAAAACCATTTATACCCATACACATCTGGCTTTTGTATTTGATTGGGAAATGTTACAATTGGTATTCACTCCCAGGACAAATGACTCTGCAGTAGTCACAGGTATTTATCAGCTCCAGCTCTGATCAGTAGTGACAGAAATACATCACCCGGATGGACGCGCTAATTTTAGCCCCTTTGCTAGCGTGATACAATTATGGGCTGTCACAAACTACCGTCCATCTGCAACGCTCAAACATCGTTCAAAATCACTTGCCACAGAGTTTGAGAGACTGAATGAGTAAGACATAAAATAGAGGAAATAATTGTAAGATATTCACTGGCCTCCATACTGCTTTCTACTGTTTACTAACCTGTTTTCCAGCCCATTCATCACGTCTAACAAGAACAAAAACAAAAACAGAAAGGCATACTTGTCTACTGCAGAACTGTTTATACTGCTCTGGTCTACTGGCAATAGGAAATTAATCTATCACCTATTCTTAACAGGTTTTCCTGTGTCTTAAAAAACCTGCATACACAGGCTAATTCTAGTGAAAAGGGGTATTTCTCTTTCTTCCATCTCATAAAGGCGCCCTGTTGTGTCCCGTATACATCCTCTCACAACACCCCTACCTCACACACACTCTCACACACATATTCCCTGTGAGCTGTAACAGACCTAAAGCTCTTTGAAGCATTTAGTAGCACGCTAGCAGGTTTACCCCACGATGAGGGGAGTGCTGAAGCATCTAATGCAATTTCAACCCAACATGGCTCTCTGTGAATAAACATCACTGAAGTGTACCATCTACTGTATGTTGATCCACTGTAGTGCTTTCTTTTTTCTCCATACGAGCTGATCTAATACTCTGTCCTCCCTCCCTTTCTTCCTCTCTGTCTCTCTCTGATTTCTGTAGAGACTTCATTTGCCTCCAGACTTGTCTGAGACGGTGAGTCGTGTGAGCAGGGGGGAGCTGGCAGGAGCGACTGCGGTGGCTTCAGCCTGTGGCTCTGGCACTTCCGGCAACAAACACCTGGACTTCTAGAGCTCCCACACAGTCGCCACGGGCAGCCAACACCTGGAATGCCGCGGCGTTGCCCTCTTTACCGTGGTGACCAGGTTGTTCCCTCTCCCACATAATGTCAACCTCAATAACCCTGCCAGCCATTACCACCTGCCAACTGTCCCAGCCAGGGGTGAAGATCTAAACATCCACAGTACCTCGTCTCTTAACGGACAAATTTCATCCTATATTTCAAGTCAGTTTTTACCCACAGTACGCTCTCTTTTTCCCCACTGTAAGTTGCAAAGAAATGTTATATGAAGGTAAACGATTGGCACTTAACCCAATTAAAATCCAAGATGGAGGGGTTACGTAAAATTTGGTACATTTTGTTTGTTTTTTGTTGTTCTTTATCTCTGAGGATTTTGATTACAAGCAAAGTGTAATCATAAAATATTTTTAGTCTTCACACACTCTTTCTTATGGCAAACATAAAATAATTTAACTGCATTCTCCCAAGCTCTGAGCGTACTGTACAAACACAAGTGGCCACTCCTGACTAGTTTACCATGTACAATAGTGGTTTATTTTCTTGGTTATTGCAATGAAATGGTTTTTTTTTGTTCAGAGAAATAAAAGAAAATAAACCCACAGTACACAAAATATGCTCTTTTTTTTTTTTTTTTTTTACACTTAACAGCATCTCAACACCTGTCTGAAAGTTGTACTACCTGTGAGTGGATGTAAAGTGAGCATGTTATGAATGACTGATCTCTGGTCTGCATCACTGGTTTCAGGTTCGGATAGGGATGCCTCCATCTGACCCTGAGACTGTGCCGGTGAGTGACGTTTACCTCCAGTAAGCTGGAGAGCTAAGCAGGAATGTGGGCAGAGGGTAGGAGAGCTGGATTTGGGTGCAGGCTTCACACCTCATCAGGCATGTTTGCTGGATGAGCTGCTTTGCCATGACAAGCCCAAAAGAACAAATTAGGTCAAATGGTGACATGGAGAAACAGAGAAAAAAACAACATGAAAAATTAAATGTTTCATTTTTGTTTTCCTCAGTCTGCCGCTGATGCCAGTTTGAATATTTTTGCCTGCGAAAACTGGCAGTATTGGTAACCATCTGCAACACGTGTTGGGAGAGGGTAGTGTTACCTGACAGTTTCATGCATGAATGGAGTGCTCTTATATCGGGTGTGTGAGAGAGAGATGACACACACAGGTCACTTATACAGGTGAACAAAAGCTGGAGTTGTCAAGATAAAAACTGTTTTCCAAGTTATTGTTGTCGAAGAGCTGACATATTCAGGGTACACTTTTAAAGTGGATTAAAAATAGAATAAATTCAGTTTGGCATTTGTGTATGTTGACATGCTACTGGCATGTCTGTTGTTTACACGTGCCATGTCTCCATGTCACCACTGTGCTGATTCACTTATTCTTTAGTCTGTTCAGAAAGTGGATCATTTTTTAAGACCTAAAACCATCAAAAAAGTTTTATAATGTCAGCTTCTTTAATTCACATTATATAGAATGAAGGTCCTCACATACCTATGTACATGGAGAATTCCGTGGATGGATGCGTCTCAGCACTCACGTTCAACCAAGGGTCATCTTTATGCACACTCAATTTACATATATTACACGTGTAGCTGTGCACTTTAACCAAGATTAAAATAAATAACATTTATTTAAAAAACAACTTCTTATACGGATATGAATTCAGTAGTGTTCTGCCCTCTGATGAAGTTGGGTGCACGTGGTTAGATAATACTGTGAGTTATGATTAGTCACACATGCTTCTGTAATGAGTATCAATGAGTAATTCAGGTTACCAGGAAATCACAGTTAATTTAAGCCTCCAAACACAATGACACAATAACTGGAACTTAACAATCAGGTCAAGAATGTATTCTCTCCTGTTCAATGGGATGTTTTTTTTTGCAGAGAAATCATGATATGAGGCTCTTTGGATGCCTTTAGATGATGCACTTAGGACAGCTCACACATAATGGTTTTTATTTGTTTGTTTCTTTTGGATTTTTTCTTCTTCTTAAAAGGGAATTACACCCATTTTAAAAATAAATTAAATTCATTTGGTCTAAGACAGTACAAAAATATCAGTGAGCATGAACAATTATCTGCCAAATCCAAATCAAGAGTGCTAAAACTTAGATTTGTGATGTCATCAATTATAAAGTCTAGAGCTGCTCCGCTGACAGTGAATTGGGAAATATGTTACAGATGACACTGAGAGCACTGAGGGGAATGTTCTGAGTATATGGGTACATTTTCTTTTTCACATCTGAGAACACTACAATATAGTAATGCTCATTTGGGTATAAAAAAGAAAACAAACATTCTGTGGTTCCACAAAATCCATCTCCCTTTCGTTGTCTATGGAGCAGCTCCAAACTTTATACTTGATGACATCACAAGTTTGAGACTGACTTCTGTAGTTTCTGGCTTTGAGAGAGAGTAGCTCATGTTCACAAATATTGACTGAGCCTTTCTCTGCCATGGAAATAATATACTGGAATTCTTCTTACTGCCCAGATCTGAATAATGGTTTATAACATGGTATAGTGTTATGATTTTATAACAAAGTGTTAAATCCAAACTATACATACCTGTATGTCATATTACATGTAAGGTATTTTCTTTTTTTCTATTTGATCTTAATGAAACCTGCAACAGCAACACATGAGATGAGCACTCAGTGCTGTTGGCACATTTCAGAGGACCTACTTCTTGAATGCCTCTCTTGGCCTTTAGCAAAGACAGGAGGCCACGGGCCCGAGTGTTGAGAATACGCTTTAATAATCGTGTCTTTTGGCAGCTGCCGCTCATGCCCTATTGGTTCCCATCCAAAGCCATAGTTGTTTTCCTACAGTAGCTTATCATATGAATTCTATTATTGAATGGCCGTCACATCACAGCACTATTCAAAGTAACACAATGTGGGATATAACATTTTTACCACACTGGATCTCTCTCTGACAATTCTTGGTTTAATAAAGCAGACATATCTTCATGACATGTCTGTCAAATACAGTTTACAAAGTACACAAAGCTAGACTATTATGTATTGACAGTGATGAGGGGGAAACGTTAATTTGTGTTTGCTTAAAGCACACACACTCACACGCAGACTAGAGCACAGAACTTTAACTGCTGACTCTAAAAAGGAGTGTGTCAGCTTCTGTTGGCTGCTGTGGGAATTCGGATTTCCAGGTCAGAATTGTTGTGTCTCATTAAAAAAAAAAAAAAAAAAAAACAGATCAAAGAGCAAAAAGTTCTCAAGAACTTTTCCCAGAAACTTATATTGGCTGACTTTGATTCCAAGCGAGAATTACATTTAAACCTTTTTATCCCGAAGCTGTGTATTATTTAGACTTCCACTAATTGCAGTCTTTCTTGCATTTTGAATCTCTCTTTCATTCTCTCTCTGTAATTATTGATGTTCTTCCTCTGTCTCAGCGCAGTCACCCAGCCTGTGCTCTCTCTTCTCTTCCCCCGTGCTCTCAAAACAGAATTCTTCCATCTGCGTGATAAACTGGATTAAATTAATAGAGAAAGTGCATTAGCCGCAGGAAGAAAAAAAAAAGAATCCTCTTAAAAATCTGATTAACCCCCAATCCTCAAAATTCTGATTGGACTATTAAATACTGAGTGAGACATGTAAATTCAATTAATCAGTTTAGCAAGATGTTTGGTGCTGTTGCATGCTGTGTGAATGTTACCTGACCTCACTCTCTCCTGGACATCCTTTCCTTTTAGATGCTCTCCCTCTCCCTCTAACACACCCTCTCGAATCCACACACACATACACACAGACACAACCCCCCTGCTGAGGCAGCAAGTGAAGCAAAATAACTCACTCTGCCACACAATCGCTCCTTTGCCTCGCTCTAGGCAATGACTGCTTTATTCCATGACTTTTTTTCCTCTCTCCTCTGCTCCCTCCTCCTCATTGGTTCTGTATTTTTTTTTCATACCATCGTAACTCTACTACAACAAGAGCCAGTGATGGTGAATTGCTTGACCTTTCTCATTGTGCGGCGGTGTTGTGCTGTGTGGTCTGTGTCGACTTGGTTCAGCCCATACATCAAGAGAGGTTTGTTATTTTGGACACCTTTGTTTGGTGGGAATTGGAAGTGTTGTGTGTGTATTACAAGCCCTTGTACTGGCATTTGTCAGCATTTATATTTGTTTAAATTTGCAGCTTATGTCCAAATTTTCGTCTCTGGCTCAGTAAAGACCGACACTGCACGAGACACAGCATTGAACAGGCAAAAAGGCTTTCTTTAAGACACAATTTTACTGTACAAAATGTTTTATAGTTTTCACAAAATACATTTAGAAAGCTCCATTTTAAATAAAATTAAATTGAAATATTTAAGAGACAGCGTGTAGACGTTTTATCTCAGAAGCATTGCTCAGACGTAAACCCAGTGTGTGTCCGTGTTCTGCGTACACACTGAAATAAAAATGCAAAACTCAAAAGAGCATGACAGATGATGCTAGAAAAACCCTCCCATGGTCTTCAATTATAAATAAGGACTGCGGGGTTCGACTGCAGTCTCACGAACTCGAAGCCAATGTAATCGAACAGAACGTGTTTACAAAATTTTGCAACACAAGACTAATATCTTTAAAAAAAACATTGTGTACTAGATGAAATACAAAGGCTTTGGTCTGTTTTACAATCAACAATGATTAAATCTGATATGTACTTGTAAACAACTGCCAAACACTTAAGTTTAAAACTCTGTCAAGCAATGTTTAATCATAATTATAGGAATTAAATATTTCTAGTTGCACAAATTTTTTTTTTTGACCATAGGACACTATAATACAACTATACCTAAGAGACAAATTGTACCTGACCCTAAAGAAATGTATTTCATGATGCATGGAACATTTATAGAATATTCTCGGGGATATAAATGAAATCAACTTTTATTGGAGAAATCTTTCTGGAAGATTTCTAGGGAAGACAAGTACTTTACATTTTGACATAAACAAACTGGATTATATCGAAGACGCAGTCTACCATTTACAGACTACAGGTTTTCTTTTACACCTGTTTTCCACATTTAATGTTCTTCGTGGTAATCTAGAGTCAATCCAACCACCGAAGCAAGAGGTCCAACTTGTGTCGCTTGCCCGCGCTGTCTTTTGCACGCTTTGAGCTGTTGATAGTGATCCATGTTTAATAAGCCAGCAAATGCAGGCCCACATCAGAGGAGTTGAGACCACAGCCTCAGTGGGTGGATCGAGTTTGAGTTTCCTCTGCTAAATATCCATTCATAAGAAATAAGACCAATAAATAGTTGTTTTTTTTTTTGACACAGTAAGAGTCTTCCCTCCAGCTTTTCGTCTTTAATGATATGCAACAGCGTCCAGAGACCATGCAAAGGCTGGTAGAAAGTCTCGATATAAGCAGATCAAAAGATAGTCATGGCAGAATCTCTCAGGTTCTCCTTCTCTCAAACAAACGCAAGACCAACATGGTTTTCTAGCAGTCCATCTATCAGTACTTGATCTTGGTTTTTCATATTAACATACAAATGGCCATTTACTAACACACCAGAGAAAAAAGGAAACAATGACTGAAGTTGGAAATAGAAAAAAAAAACATAAGTTTTTGTTCCATA